CGCTATGAGTCGGGTTTGACTTGACGGCACATAACAACAACAACAACATATATATATATATATATAGGATGGGGAAATCTACTGTGGAATTTTAATAGTGTGGATTCTTAGGCTGAGAAGATTGTTTAGAGATATTTGTAATCAATGTCATTGATGATGCCAAGTGCTATTTCAGATTTTGTTTTTGTTTGGCCATCAGTTTGTAAGACTACATTGTGTGGTATGTAGTTTATTGCCTAAGGAAAGGAACCTCATCCCAGTATTGTCCACAGAAAAGCCATGACTGTTTCTGAAACACCTTAAACTCTTTGCCAACATTGTTCTTTAGTTGTTTTATTTTTTTTCCCTGATAAAGTGAAGGTATTAGAGTTACTTCTGCCAATTTTTACTTTAAAAATTGATTTGTGAGCATCCAATTTTGGCAATCAGTTTAAGATGAAATGGAATTCTGTGAAGAGTTAAATAATATAAAATAAAGCTTAATCGTAGCCTACTAATCCTGTGTTAGTAAACTGAGCATTCTATAGTTCATACAGGGGGAAAAAAAAGCAACGTTAGGGTCAATGTGACTTAAGTAGGAATAGGAAAAAACAAGGCAGAATTTGAGGTAAATTATAGTCATTATTGATAGTTTAGTTCATATTTCTCCTTCCAAATAGTCTGTGATTGCCAAACTAATAACCTACACATTTACAGTTCTAATTTATCAGCAAAGCCGTCCCTCTGCTCTCCAGCCTTACCTCAGACATCTGTCCTCTACAATTTCTACATGCCTGTCAAGTAGATTTCTAGATTTCCACCTCTGTGCTTTTCCCTATGCCATTTTCTCCATGTTGAAAACCCTTTTTCTTTAACCTCTCAGAGTGGCTGATTGATCCTTACATGCTCATGTTTGATCCTATTTCCTCTAAGAAACTTTTCTTTATCATTTGCCCCACTTGAGATCATTTCTTTCTCCTTGACTCCCAATAGCTCTTTATTTGTAATGTCTCATAGGACTCATCATACTTTGCTTTTATCATATTTATTTGAGGGTCTGTGTAAGTTGTAAGTTTCTTGTAGATAAATGCAAAAAACATACTGCCGTGGAGTTGGATTCGACTCATAGTGACCCCTCCTTGGGTTTCTGAGGCAGTATTGCTACAGAAGTAGATTGCCCAATCTTCCTTCCAAGGAGTGGCTGGTGGGTTTGAACCGCCAATCTTCTGGTTAGCAGTCAAATGCCTTAGGCACTACACCACCAGAGCTCGTTGTAGATAGATAGGTTTATTCACCTCATCTTTGTATGATAATTCCAGTTAAAAAAATGTATAAACCATTTCATAGGTTGCAAAGGCTCTGCCTACATAATTTTGTTTTTCCTTCTAGCATAGCTCTTTTAGGGGCTCATAACATTGTTGAAGTGAGGGCAAATGTAGCCCTGGAAATTTGGTAACCTCAGTACTCCTCAAGTCTATGGAACCAAACTTTTTTAGTTGCATTCATTATAATGTGATACAATTGTCTATCAGTTCCATCTGTTTGGGATGTTTTCCACAAAATGTATCTTCTCAGACTTAAAAATTTTGAATAAA